TATGGGGCCACCATATTGGATATCCCTAGGGGGGCGCCATATTGGATATCCCTAGGGGGCCACCATATTGAATGAGTCCATGGGCCACCACCATATTGGCTCTCCCTATGGGGCCGCCATATTGGCTATCCCTCGGTGGCCACTGCCATATTGGATGTCCCCATGGCCGCCACCACATTGGCTCTCCCTATGGGGCCGCCATATTGGCTATCCCTAGGGGGCCACCATATTGGATATCCCTAGGGGACCGCCATATTGGATACGACCATGGGCGCCACCATATTGGATGTCCCCAAGGGGGCCGCCATATTGGATGCCCCCAAGCCCACCGCCATATTGGCTCTCCCTATGGGGCCACCATATTGGATGTCCCTATGGGGCCACCATATTGGATGTCCCTATGGGGCCACCATATTGGATGCCCCCAAGCCCACCGCCATATTGGTTATCCCTATGGGGCCGCCATATTGAATGAGTCCATGAGCGCCACCATATTGGATGTCCCCAAGGGGGCCGCCATATTGGATGTCCCCAAACCCACCACCATCTTGGCTCTCCCTATGGGGCCGCCATATTGGCAATCCCTAGGGGGCCGCCATATTGGCTATCCCTCGGTGGCCACCACCATATTGGATGTCCCCATGGCCGCTGCCATATTGGATGTCCCTATGGGGCCACCATACTGGATGTCCCTATGGGGTCGCCATATTGAATGAGTCCATGAGCGCCACCATATTGAATGTCCCCAAGGGGGCCACCATATTGGATGCCCCCAAGCCCACCACCACATTGGCTCTCCCTATGGGGCCGCCATTCCCAAGCCCGCCCCATTGCGCCGCATTCCCCCCCCCATAGCGACCCCCCCCTCCCCACACCCCCATCCCCATCCCCCCCAACCCGGATGCCAGGCGCGGGGCCGTGTCTTTTGGGTTGAATTCAGGCGGTTTTGGGGCGCTGGCGCCAGCGGCGCAGGTTGAGGCGCAGCAGGAGCAGGTTGAGGCCGTAGGTGCTGAGGCAGACGAGGCAGAGGTCGTGGAGGACGAAGGCCAAGATGGCCGCCAGCCACAGCGACGCCAACGCCGACGCCACCGACGACGCCAGCAGCAGCCAGGAGGCGCCGCGACCGCGCACGGGGCCTGGGGGAATCAGTGGGGAGCAAGGGGGGTCAATGGGGGTCGATGGGGGTCAATGGGGGTCAATGGGGGTCAATGGGAGTCAATGGGGGTCAATGGGGGTCAATGGGGAGCAATGGGGGTCAATGGGGGTCAGTGGGAGTCAATGGGGAGCAAGGGGGGTCAATGGAGCCAATGGAAGTCAATGGGGGTCAATGGAGTCAATGGGGGTCAATGGGGGTCAATGGGGATCAATGGGGCGTCAATGGGTGTCAATGGATATCAGTGGGTGTCAATGGGTGTCAATGGGGGTCAATGGGAGTCAATGGGGGTCAATGGGGGTCAATGGGGAGCAATGGGGGTCAATGGGAGTCAATGGAGTCAATGGGGGTCAATGGGAGTCAATGGGGGTCAATGGGGGTCAATGGGGAGCAATGGGGGTCAATGGGGATCAATGGGGGTCAATGGAGTCAATGGGAGTCAATGGGGGTCAATGGGGATCAATGGGGGTCAATGGGAGTCAATGGGAAGCAATGGGGGTCAATGGGGATCAATGGGGAGCAATGGGAGTCAATGGGATCCAATGGGGGGCAATGGGACTCAAGGGGATCAATGGGGAGCAATGGGGAGCAATGGGGGTCAATGGGGGTCAATGGGAGTCAATGGGGGTCAATGGGGATCAATGGGGAGCAATGGGGGTCAATGGGGGTCAATGGGAAGCAATGGGGATCAATGGGGGTCAATGGGGATCAATGGGGGTCAAGGGGGAGCAATGGAGGTCAATGGGGGTCAATGGGAGTCAATGGGGGTCAGTGGGACTCAATGGGGATCCAATGGGGGTCAATGGGGGTCAATGGGGAGCAACGGGACCCAATGGGGATCAATGGGACCCAATGGGGGTCAATGGAGCTCAAAGAGACCCAATGGACCCCAAGGGAGCCATTGTACCCCTATGGGTCCCATTGCCCCCTATGGGTCCCATTGCCCCCTATGGCTCCCATTGCCCCCTATGGCTCCCATTGCCCTTACCCAGAATCCCTTGCAGGAGGTAGAACCCGACCCCCACGGCCCCATTGGGGACGTTGGCGGCGCTGTCCCGGCCCAGCAGCGGCTCCACCAGCCCCAGGCCACGCCCCCACCTGGCAGACACACCCCCATCACCATATATGGCAAATGCCCCCGCCCCTCAGCCTCCCATTGGCTGCTCCTTGCCCCCAAGCCCCGCCCCCTTTCCTCGCCTCCCGCTCCTCTCCCTCCTCAGCCCCAGAGACCCTCCTTTAACCCGCCCCCTTTTCCCGCCATTCCCCCAATTTCCCGCCATTCCCCCAATTTCCCACCATTCTATTCCCTCCCCCCCCATTTCCCTCCATTTCCTGCCCTCATTTCCCGCCAACCCCCTCAATTTCCCGCCAATCCATTCCCTGCCCCCCATTTCCCTCCATTTCCCGCCAACCCCCTCAATTTCCCGCCATGCCATTCCCAATTTCCCTCCATTTTCCCTCCTCATTTCCCGCCATCCCCCCCCAAATTCCCACCATTCCCCTCATTTCCCACCCTCCCGCCAATTTCCCGCCATTCCCACCCATTTCCCGCCATTCCATTTCCCTCCCCCCATTCCCATTTCCCAAGTTTCCCGCCATTCTCCCTCATTTCCCGCCATTTCCATCCCCCCTCAATTTCCCGCCATTCCTTCCCTCAACTTCCCATTTCCCGCCACCCCTCCTCAATTTCCCACCATTTCCCCCCCCATTTCCCGCCATTTCCATTCCCCCCTCAATTTCCCATCATCTGCCCCCATTTCCTGCCATTCCCTTCCCTCCACTTCCCATTTCCCGCCATCCCCCCCCAATTTCCCTCCATTCCCTTCTCTCTTCCCATTTCCCACCATTCTCCCCCCCCTTTTCCCACCATTTCCTTCCCCTTCCCCCCAATTTCCCACCATTCCATCCTCTCCCCCAATTTCCCGCCATTCCCTTCCCCCCCCTCCAATTTCCCACCATTCCCTCCCCAATTTCCCACCATTCCCTTCCCTCCACTTCTCATTTCCCACCATTCTCCCCCCACAATTTCCCGCCATTCCTTCCCCCCTCCCCCCATTTCCCGCCATTCCCTTCCCTCCACTTCCCATTTCCCGTAATTCCCCCCCCCCATTTCCCACCATTCCATTCCCCCCCCCCATTTCCCACCATTCCCTCCCCCCCCCATTTTCCACCATTCTCCCCACTCATTTCCCGCCATTCCCTTCCCTCCACTTCCCATTTCCCAGCATTCCGCACCCATTTCCCGCCAATTCCACCCCCCCTCAATTTCCCACCATCCCCCCTATTTCCCGCCATTTCCATTCCTCCCCCAATTTCCCACCATTCCCTTCCCTCCACTTCCCATTTCCCACCATTCCCCCCCATTTCCCTTACCCCCTCCATTTCCCGCCATTCCATCCCCTCCCCCAGTCTTTCCCACTATTCCATTCCATTCCCCCCCCCATTTCCCGCCATTTCCATCCCCCCCCTCCCCCCCAATTTCCCGCCATTCCCTTCCCTCCACGTCTCATTTCCCACCATCCCCCCCAATTTCCCGCCATTTTCTTCCCTCCACTTCCCATTTCCCACCATTCCCATCCCCCCTCAATTTCCCACCATCCCCCTAGATTTCCCGCCATTGCATTCCCATCCCCCCTCATTTCCCACCATTCCCTTCCCTCCACTTCCCATTTCCCACCATTTCCACCCCCCCAATTTCCCGCCATTCCCTTCCCTCCCCCCCTCATTTCCCACCATTCCCTTCCCTCCACTTCCCATTTCCATCCCCCCCTCAATTTCCCACCATCCCCCCAATTTCCCACCATTCCCTTCCCTCCCCCCTCAATTTCCCACCATTCCCTTCCCTCCCCCCCTCATTTCCCACCATTCCCTTCCCTCCACTTCCAATTTCCCACCATTCCCATCCCCCCAATTTCCCGCCATTCCCTTCCCTCCCCCCCTCAATTTCCCACCATCCCCCCTCATTTCCCACCATTCCCTTCCCTCCACTTCCCATTTCCCGCCATTCCCTCCCCCTCCCCCCCCCGTTTCCCGCCGTTACCGGGACCCGAACACGCGGCTGCAGGACACGGCCTCGCCCAGGTCGCAGAGCGCGCGGAACCCGGGTTCCCGCGCGCGCGCCCGCTCCACGTGGAGCGCGTACAGGGAGAGCGCGACGCCGGCCACGCACAGGGCCGCGCGCGCCGCCATGGCGTGATGACGCGGCGTGATGACGTCAACGCGGGCGCGCCACGCCCTTTCCCCCACCCGTTCTACGCTTTGCTTTCTCATTGGCTGAAGGAGGGGCAGGGCGGCTTCGGATTGGTTGGAGCGATCCCGCCCCCTCCCCCTCCTTTAGGGGGGCAGCGGATGTTTGCCGCGGGGGGGGGGGATGGGAGTTGTAGTTCTATGGGGGGCGTGGAGAGATCCCATTGGGACCCATAGGGACCCATAGAAAACCACAGAGACCCACAGAGACCCATAGAGACCCATAGAGACCCATAGAGACCCAATAGAGGTCACACAGAGACCCATAGAGACCCATAGAGAACCCATAGAGACCCATAGAGACCCATAGAGACCCATAGAGACCCATTGGGACCCATAGAGACCCCATAGAGACCCACAGAGACCCATAGAGACCCATAGAGACCCAACAGAGGTCACACAGAGACCCATAGAGACCCATAGAGAACCCATAGAGACCC